AGCGCAACCATTTTCAAAAAAAAATCCATTATTTTTTTCTCAAAATAATTGTTACAAATAATTTTTTTTTATAAAATTTCATATTTCACAAAACGTCATTTACTGCATTTTGTATAAACGATTAATATTCTTTATAAATATAAATACAAATTTCATACATTTATAACAAAATTTTGCCAAAATTAACCAAATTAAGATCCTTTTGTAAATTTATTAAAAMCCATATTTAAATTAAATACTTACTAATATCTACATATATATATATTTATCACAAAGTTATATTTAAAATTTAACAATACGGTAAAATATTTCAAAATAACAGTTRCTAATAAATTTTTATTCTCATTTACACCTCTTCTCCCATAACCAACAATAAATTGTCCACCTCCAAAAATACTCCCTTTGTAACGAACGCAATGTTGACACTAAAAAAAAAACCCAATTACCAACATACCCGACAHACATACACACACAMACAAACATGAAATAAAACGTAAAAATTAAAAACAACAAAATCACATACCAAATTGAAACTGCAAAATTTAGGCCAATGAAATTGAAGATGAGCCGGAACCACTGAGCATGGCCTGGCCCGATACTGCCCGCAAACGTCTCACCTACATAATGGTGGCACCACTGCTAATACCCATGTGGCTGACGTTGCCCGATACGCGTACACCGCGCGGCAAGAAATACTACCCGGTCACGTTCATGGGCTCAATACTATGGATTGCTGCCTTCTCATATCTGATGGTGTGGTGGGCGAACGTAGCCGGCGATACGGCACGCATTCCACCCGAGGTGAGTAGTTCTAAACTCATACACATATACAAACTTTATATACATAGGTGTGTGCATATGTATGTGTAATGTGGGTCATTCTTTTTATTTTTTCATAATTCTACTTATTTTAGTCTTATCTACACACATTGTCTCATTGCTTTTTAATATTTGCTAACTGTTTTTTTCCTATTCCCCACTCACTGCACCACATAGGTAATGGGTTTGACCTTCCTTGCCGCTGGCACATCAATACCCGATTTGATAACGTCGGTGATTGTGGCGCGTAAGGGATTCGGTGATATGGCGGTTTCCAGTTCAGTTGGTAGCAATATTTTCGACGTCACTGTTGGGTAAGTAACATTTCAATTTACCTTTCTTTTTATAAATGTATAAGTGCGAGTGATTTTAGTGAATTATGCTTGGTAAATATCAATAGGTGTGACAAGTATTTTGCTGATTATTGTACTTCAATGCTGAGTCAGCATGAAGTCTATATTTTGCTACTAAGTTACGATGAGATCTGCATTCTGAAGTTGTAGAGATAAAGCTTCTGGCTTTTGATAGTATCAATTTAAGTTGATTTTTTTGTAAGAGCATAAAAACTTTTCCAAAATAATTTTAGGGAATTCTGCTGAGAGGTCAATATTTTATTGCAGAAAAAATTCCGAGTTCCTTCTGTTGTTGTACATTATTATTTCTAGCTTTTATTTGATTACAGTTTTGTCTACTTTATACAGTCACTGACGGGTAAAATCATTTAAAACTTTTCTGAGGAACAGCACAAAAAAATTATCAAGACGGGAGCTCAAAGCTCGGAACTCTAAGAAGCGCTCATGAAAAATTAGCAAGAGAAGAGCTCAGAGATAGAATTTTTCGAACATAAAGCAGAACTGCTTCAGCAACTGACACGAAACGATCTTGGTTTCCCTCTAAATATGCAATATACTTAATTTCATGTGAAATTTCCAAAAAAATTGTTAACTACAGAAATATTTTTTTATAAATATTTCCACATTTAATCTTTCAATGAAGAGAAGGTCAGTAAAGCAAATTTATTTTAGTGAAAATTGGCAACAATGTAAATAATATATAGACTTTTGACCCTTAAGGATTGTTTTTACAAAATTTGTTGTTCGAAAGCTAACCAAAACATAATGCAAAAAAATTTAGTAGCACTCGTTAATCATTTAGTTGGCCCCAGTGCCTTTTATTAATTTTTTTTTTTCCTCCATACGAAAAGTTGGGAGTTTCTGCCTTGCATTATATATACCTTAAAAACGTCTTCCAAAAGTGTTAACCTTCGAACGTTCTTTCGTAAAATATAGGAGCTGTTTTAATGCAATCACAGTCTTAACGCAACTTTGGACAACTAAATGCACATTTTCATTTAAGTAAAGCAATCCTTTATTCTTAGTCCAAAGAAAGATTTAAGCGTTCCACTCAAACAACTTTCGGTTCTATGTTACTGGAGCTGACCTTAGGGTAATAGCAATACTAAGGTTTTTTGCAATGATTTAATTAATTATTTTTGAGGAGACAGCTTCTGTTAAGTACCTTCGCGAACAGTTGGTGTTTTATTCCTTTTTCAGTGACAAAATTGCGAACACGCAAAAAAGTAAGATGATAGCAATTAGTTGGGAATAAAATTGATAACAGGTAGAAAAAAATTTACCATTGATATTGGTCCTGTGACATGACATCRAATCGTGTTGAAAGATTATATCATTTTGGTATAGATGCAGTTCTTCGAAAGATAGTATAAACTTGCTTCCAGGATTTTTCTATAGGCCTCACGGTTTACTCATCTTTTTAAATTTTTCTTTTAAATGGATATTTTACGTTAATATTTTCGGGAGCATTCTCCGCAAAACCATTCGCAGACCTTCTCTATACATGKCGGATAAAGCTTTCGTTGTGTTTCACCATTCATGGCCTAATTAGTAAAGTGGAAGGAACACCATTTCCACCTTGGTCGGGTTCGAGGCCGATCAAAACCTCTGCAGTGCTATGAGTTCAATATCCGGCCAAAATATGACTCTGCATTGAACTGAATTTATCAATTCTACTCGCATTTAGGTTCCAACCAGAACGCCACGAATTTCTTCAAAGACCCAAGCCATATCAGCAGATTGGAGCGAAACCCTTAGCTTACTGCTCCCCGTGGTACCAGATTTAAGTCTCAAGTCAGAACTTGTAATTTTTGCTAATACCAGTTGAGAAGCCATTAAACTGGTGACATTTGTCGCTTGAACTTCAAATTTCTTTTCAATAAAAACAATATCATATCATAAGTCTATATTATAAGTTCAAGCTGAGTATTATAGCATTATATCTAACAACATTTCGAGGTAAACCAAACAACATAGCATAGTGTATATTGGATTTCAGCCGCCTCTTTCGACAAGCATGCCCTACCACTGCTCTTGGGGGAAACAAAGTGGATATTATCTGATTCAAAGATATTGAGCTTGGATTCATTAGAGAATATTAGGATCTGTCACTATTCTACCGACCAATTTAATTGCTCTTTCGCCCATACATAACGCGGCTTGTTCATATGTTTTTAAAACGGTTTTTATTGCATGATGTCGGCAGTTGAATCCTACCGTTTAAAACTCGGCCAGGCAATTGATTCATCCACAAATATTCCTGTTCCATTTCTAAGGTCTTTTTTAATGTTTGACGAAGATTTAAAACGATTCAATATACACGACCGTCGGGTGAGCTTGTCTTTGGACTCTGTCGCCTTTCGCTACCAGGCTTAAATAATACCATAAATCGTCCGCAAAATCTTTCTCACGAAAACTCGTAAAGTCGACTGATCAGATAGCAGGACGGAAATGATGGATAACTTGTAGAATTTATATTTTAGAGTTATTCTTCGTTGGATTTCGAGGTTGATGTTATTGTTGGTGTTAATGCTAGCTCCAAGATAGACGGAATTCTGCAACTTCAAGTCGCGAGTGCGACAAATTATTGAACCTACTATCAGACTTATATGCCGATGCGTTATCAATCGTCGAAAAGAAAAAAAATCCATTTGCATATTTCAAGCATTAATTATGAAAATACTTGGCAGGTAATGCTAATCAATAGTAATAAAGATTAAAGTTTTGAAAATTTTCACCCAAAACCAAATCCACAGCGCAAAAACAGCAGCTGCGTTCAGAGCTTTCCACATATGGCTTATCACTTGAAAGCGAAAAAAGACACTTTGATAGAAATAAGCCGCAAAATTTAAGCCTTGTTAAACCTTGTAACCACTCAGCACTTAACCTTAACTTGATATGCACATATAACTGATACTTATAAACACACATGTTCACATACACATTTGCATGAGCACTTAGAGCGCACACCTACGCCAATTTAACTTTCGAGTGCTGAGGGTATGAAAAAGGCAACCAGAAAAATTCACACAAAAAAAAAACAGAAAAATGTGGAACAATTGAAAGAACTTAAAACCTTACTTATAAGCATACAAGCAATTATACATACATATACACATACTTACAAATATATGTATGTGTGTGTGTGTGCGTTTGGTATACCGTTAAGCTGCAGCCAGCACAGTTAAGTCTCACAAACACTCATTAATACGCCATTCAACATTTGAAATGACATTGAATAATGAAAAAGTTCACAGGCCATACGAAATGCACACACACACACACAAACCAGCCAAAAAAAAAAAACAGGCGGGTATAGCGTGTGTTGTGAGTGGTTGCATGTGGCTCGAATGTAGGTGCACTTATTTCTGCTCGTATAACCGAAATGTCAGTCAGTCGCCAACAGAAGCAATTAAGCACACACTCACACACACTTATCGCACACAACCACATACATATATAAGACACATGTGAGTTGCTTGTGCTGGCATATGTTCGAGACAAGCACAATCAGTGAGACAGTGACAAGTTGAGGTACATCAATTTTTAACAAAGTACCACAAATCTGCTCTAAAGCCGACCTATTCGCGTGCTTACGCACACACAACCGCTCAAACACTTAAATACACACACACACATGCAAATGCGTAGTTGAATTTGTGTGAAGCTCATACAGCCAGTCAAGTTTTGGCCCACAAAACTGCCTCTATTTCAATGACATCTTCTGGCTCACCTCAACTCGCACACACTTTCACAATACACTCACATATACACTCTCACATGTATACACTGAGGCTCATACGCCGTTATTCAACACACCCTGTGCACCTGAGAGGAGCTAGTAGACCGTATGCCTAGTTAAGCCCTGTAATAAAAAACGTATAAATTGCCGCTTAACAACAACAACAACCACTACCACTACTATCACAGCAATGAAAGGTAAAACTACACTTATACAATCACACGCATACCGCGGAATTGTGCGAGCACACGTGTAGCTACACATACAACTAGCATGGGCTGGTGTAGTGAAATTTGAATGCGACCAATAATGGCGCCGTTGTATGGCAATTTATTCAAGATAGCGATAGGTTACACGCTAAAAAGCTGAAAATTTCTCAAAATTCAGCATTTTCGAAGAAATTTGTTTTTGCTGGTTATAAAGCTCACTTGGCAAGGGAGTACTTTGTTTAAGAAAAAACACAGACACTTCAAATTTAGTGGGAATGTTATTTTAGCGAACGAAGAACACTCTTTGTCATTTATTTTTTGAAGATTATGTTTTTCAAATGTATGGCAAGACTACGTCTTAGATGCTCCGTCCATTAACTCCAATTTTCGATAACTCGTTCGAACAATTTGACTGCTCCAAGGCCTGAAGTGAAAAGGGGCTTAGACTTAGAAAAAGGGTAGTGGGTGTGATATCACACGATCTTGGTAAAGTTATCTGGTGACCGCAGTGTTCTCTCAATAAAGCCATTGAATGTTGAAATGGATGGAAAGCGGCGCCGTCTTGTTGAAACCAATGTCGCCGAAATCACGTGCTTCAATTTAAGCCATTGACGGTTACGTTCTTACCGACATCATTTATGAAGAAATATGGACCGATGGTTTCATCGGCCCACAAACCGCACTAAACTTTTGTTTTTTTCTGGATAATATAGCACTTTTTGAATATTTTCAGGTTACTCTTCGGTCCAAATATGGCAATATCGCTTGTTTACATACCCAACGAGCCAGAAATGGGCATCGCTAAACAAAATTTGAAACGAAAACGTCGGATCTTCTCGAAACTTTTCAAGAGCACATAGAGCGGAGCAATGTAGCTTGGAAAAGTTATACGATTTCAGTTCTTGTACAAGCTTTATTTTGTACGCTTTCAATACAAGGTCTAAACATAAAATGCGCTAAATTCCATATATCAGTCCGAGTTGTTGCGAACGGCCCCGAGTCGGCTCTTCGCGATCTTCGTGAAATCTCTCAGCTACGACTGCTAGCATACTTATATTTTATTTACTAGGTGCTAGACGTTGTCTATTCAATCGAATATTATCCAATAATGAATGCCGGATCTCAAAATGTAGTGTTGCGAATAGTACGCTCAGTCCGGGTCCGGGGAGTTTAATCACATGGTCCATAAGCTAATTTCG